CACTTTCTTAGTCGATTTATGCATGTCCCTCCGTTCGTCCGTCCATCCATGTACAGGGTGTGGTGAAAAAAATGCAATCAACTTCAGACTGTAATTTCTAAGCCACTCGTCCGACAGCTGTTAAAATTATTCTAGTGACAGCTCATTATATTGTTAACAGGCGTACAAAATTATTTTGGTGAGAATTTTCTAGAAAAAAAGTTATTCTAGATGGAATTCAAGCGTGATAGTGATTTCTTTATATTTGGCTTGAAAACCACAAGTGGCTATCGTTAGAGCACTCCAGCATATAAATGTGAATAAATCTTTTGTGTTACCGTGATACTGGTAGCGTAGTCCGACGTCAAGGAACTGGACAGAAGAAAACAGCAACATCAAGAGAAATGGTTCGAGAAATAAAGAAGCGACTTGATTGAAACCCGCGTCGCAGTGTCCGAAAAATTGCTCGTGAGCTGAACATATCGCAATATTCCATACGGCAAATATTAAAAAATGTGTTTGGAGTAAAGCCATTAAAATTCCAAAAAGTGCAAGAACTTATACCGCAACAGAAACTCAAAAGAGCTAAAGATTTGCTTCGCTTGGCCGAAAGTGGTCAACTGCCGAATTTGGTTTTCTCCGATGAGAAAACATTCGTTGTCCAGCAGTTTGTAAACAAACAAAATGATCGTATTTACTTGCCAAAGAGGTCAGCTGAAAATGTGAACCTTCGGTTGGCCACTAGAACTCAAACGCCGGCCATGGTGATGGTGTGGCCCGCCATAACAGCCAATTATCGCTCTCCGCTCGTATTAATCGACGGTGTCACCAGAATAAATGCCGAATATTATCGAAAAAATATTATGGAGGGTGTATTAAAGCCTTGGGCACACAAACATTTTATATCAAAAGCTCTCCGCTCGTATTAATCGACGGAGTCATCAGTATAAATGTGTCGATCATCTCAAAAAAACGCTTCGCCGGGAATGAACCACAATACCGCAGAGCAACATTCGGGCAACGTGTGACGGGTTCATTGGCCGTTTGAAGGCCATAATTCATGCCAAAGGTGATCAATTTGAGCAAATCTAAACTTATTCAAAAATTTGATACTATTTCTGATATTTGTTGCTTTCATTCAATAAAATTAAAAAATATATATAGAAAGTATGGCGTTTGACTTTGTTGCAGTTTCTTTATCTCACCCTGTATTTTCGTGAACAAAGTACAGGTCGCTAGTTTTGTTGAAATCGGTTCAGATTTAGATATAGTTCCCATATATTGTTTCGTCCGATTTATTGTGAATGATACATCAAACTTTCAATATTTTTACGATTGGCACAGAGTCCTGAATCCGTTTGGGACAAAATTCTGCACAGAGTACTGAATTAGATCCAGACTGATGTCTGCGAAGTTTTTTTTAAGTCGGTTCAGATTTAGATATAGCTCCTATATATAGTTTCGTCTGACTTTTTGTGAATGATACACCAAACTCCCAATATTTGTCTGATTGAGTAAAATTTTGCATAGCGAATGCTATTGAGAAAAAAATGATGCGTGATAAGGTTTGTTGAAATCGGGTCAGATTTTGATATAGGTCTAACATATATTTTCGTTCGATTTTATGTAAATATATTTTTTTGTTTTTTGGTTCAAATATCTATCTAGATAGCACATTTAATTTCAATGGTCCTACAAAGATTCTATGACCGTTCTATCTACAGGATATTGTAGATATTAAAATATCTTGCATGTATCCAAAGTGGTGAAGGGTATCATATAGTTTTAAATCGATTTACATAATTTTGTCCCATTGTAACAAACGAATGACATGTTTATGGATTGATCTAAATCGGTTCACATTTAGATAAAGACCACATATTTTAATTCATCCCATTTCTTTGTAATGATCTTCAAAAATGCGTCGGCACGTCCGACTTTACTACTTTCCTTACTGTTAAAAGACTATTTTTATATTATCGGCTATAACTCTTAAGTTTATTAACGGTCGCCGACAGAGAATATATGAGGGCGTCGATTGGTGCTAAACCATTGAATGGTATTAGGTTCTGAAACTCAATACTGAAACTCAATACTCATACTTATGAGTTTTATATACGATTTTTTATTATAATCGTTATATTACTAATAATATTGCTTTCATTATATATGCACCAGTTAGGGGAGACTGAGGCACCTTCGGCATCGGGGCACCTTCGGCAATCGCGTTTTCGATATGAAGCTCTCACCGTACATCACTAGTTTCGATACATAGGTATCGAATATCGAAATAAATAACTTACACAAAGTTTGAAATTTCTAGCTAATAAGCTTATTTATTTACATAGGTTTTTGTATTTTTATAAATGTTTCTGTAATATTTCAATTCCATTTCGTAAGTATTTCGTGTATAAAACTTTTTAGGACAATATTATTAAAAAGTGGTTAACTACGATGTGTATTATTATATAAATATTTAAAAATATAATATTTTTACAAAACTGATCGAAAAAAATGAAAAAACTATAAAAAGTACATTTGGGGCACATTTGGCATTTTTTGGGGCACATTCGGCCATATACAGGTTGTGCAATATTATTTCCTTAAAATGTTTTTGAGTTTGTCTTTAAAACTAATCCTTTAATATGGCTCGAAATTGCATATAAAAGATCAAACGTGCTTATATTGACGAAAATGAGATAGAAAACCCCTATTTCTGATGGTGTGTGCGACCTTGAGATTTAAACGTCCGCCGCTAGAAAATAAAGCCCTATAATTCAAACATTGTGTGGCGTATTAAAACCAAATAGAGCCTTTAGATAATCAGAATTTCAACCAGACTGATAGCGATGACAATTACCCGGCTATGACTATGGTGCCGAATGTGCCCCATCAAATGCCGAAGCTACCCGGGTTGGGGCACATTCGGCGAATTTGACTTTTTTTACAAAACTGTAAAATTTTTTAACTAATACTATTTTTATATATCTTTTTGGTACTATTTTTCATAATTAAGTGTCAGAGGACAATAATCAGCCATATAGTTGTTATATATGTTGAATATGTACTGAGATATAGAGCTCTAAAAAAAAAGTGCCGAAGTGTCAGAGGACAATAATCAGCCATAAAGTTGTTATATATGTTGAATATGTACTGAGATATAGAGCTCTAAAAACAAGTGCCGAAGGTGCCCCAGTCTCCCCTATATCTATTTAATTAAGCTTTATTTCATGTTAGTAGGGGAACCTGAGGCACCTTCGGCACTTTTTTTAGAGCTCTATATCTTAGTAATTATTCAACATATATAACAACTTTATGGCTGATTATTGTCCTCTGACACTTAATTATATGAAATAGTACCAAAAAGATATAAAAAATAGTATTAGTTAAAAAATTTTACGGTTTTGTAAAAAAGTCAAATTCGCCGAATGTGCCCCAACCCGGGGTAGCTTCGGCATTTGATGGGGCACATTCGGCACCATAGTCATAGCCGGGTAATTGTCATCGCTATCAGTCTGGTTGAAGTTCTGATCCTCTAAAGGCTCTATTTGGTTTTAATACGCCACACAATGTTTGAATTATAGGACTTTATTTTCTAGCGGCGGACGCTTACATCTCGAGGTCGCACCAGAGATGGCCTGTCAGAAACAATGACGTAAATGACATACATTTCCGACGTATTATACATACGTCAGAAACGTCGGAAACCTACCCAAATCCATTAGGTTTTTGATAAAATAGCTATTTCCATTACTCAATTTGAAATTACGCATGCCTCACCCAAATCCATATAAAATTTCAAAATTTTCTTCTCAAAAAAATTTAGAAATTTTTATCAGTTCTAGTAAAGAATAGTCAGATATATGCAAAAATATTATATATTCTTGAAAATAATTGTATATGCTGATAATATTGAAATAAATGACGTTTACTATATTTATTACATTTTATACTGGTATATGACGTTTTCGACGTTTACACCTTTTTGACAGTCAAAAACCTAAAAATTCGTCACACGGACCATCCCTGGGTCGCACACACCATCAGAAATAGAGGTTTTTTATCGCATTTTCGTCAATACAAGCACGTTTGATTTTATATATGCAATTTCGAACCATATTAAAGGATTAGTTTTAAAGACAAACTCAAAAACATTTTAGGGAAATAAAATTGCACAATCTGTATATGGCCGAATGTGCCCCACTTTAAAATGCCGAATGTACCCCGAATGTACTTTTTATATTTTTTTTTTTATTTTTTTGATCAGTTTTGTAAAAACATTATATTTTTAAATATTTCTATAATAATACACATCGTAGTTAAGCACTTTTTAATAATATTGTCTTAAAAATTTAAAAAGTTTTAAACACGAAATACTTACGATTTGGAATTGAAATATTACAGAAACATATATAAAAATACAAAAACCCACCCATGTATCTAAATAAGCTTATTAGCTAGAAATTTCGAACTATGTGACTGGAAATGTTATAGAGATCAAAATCTCAAGATTTGAAATATATAACGTTTTATGAGCTCCCCCCGAAATGGACTTTGCCAAAAAAATTTATTCCTAGCCCATAGTGTGTACTTAAAATCGAATACCGAATATTAAGGCGTAGCGTTATGTGGGAGCCATAATAACGAATATTGGGGAGTACTGTTATATAGAGGTCATACCAATACAAAAACAGATATATCCCATTTTCAATAGCAAGCATTCTTAATTATTGCAAACTCTCGTGATTTCAACAGATGGGCGGTCATGACTAATTAGACATCGAATTTTATTCTGGTCAAGGATATACATATTTTATGGAGTCTCTTGTAAATATTTTGAGATATTGAAAACGGAATGACAAATTTTACTTTATATGAGAAAAATAGTTTTACATATATGCCAACTTAACCTAAAATATGTTTGAAATCTGTCTATAGTGCATAAAAAAATTGTTCTTAGAATGTTGAATTACAAATTTAATATCAAGAGGACGTCGGTATATCAACAGACTCATGAAAAGTACTTCTGGTCCATCGTAATTTAAAATTGTATATAATATTCTTAAATTATTCTCATTACAAAAGGAATGCTAAACTAAATATACCTACCATCTGCAGATCGGTTACTCCTCAAATATACACCGAAGAGATGATATGCAAAAAAGCATTCGTTATCTAAACTAAATTGCGGTAGCTAGCTATAGTTTGAGTAATGACTTAAGTTTATTTCCTACAATTACGTAAAAAACCGAACAGCAGTAGATGACGATGAGCGCTGTAACGCAAACATTCACCCATCCCCCACAATCCATTGGGATGAGATTAAGTTTATTTAAACAAGCATGACTCTCTCTATGAGCTGACCATTTATTGAATGTTTGTCTGTTTGTGTCATGTTGTGTTGTGTTGTGGTGCGAGTTGTTCGATATTGAAATATAACTCCAAAAATACTGTTTTCAAAGTTTATGGTAAACTGGGAATCGATTTATACAATACAAACTTTTCACATAAAATTCGATTTGACTTCAGAGAGATGGAAATATTGAAAATGAGAAGTATGTTTCTAGAAATAGAAAATTTTCCCAGAATAACTTTAGCTTATAAATATTCTATTATGAAAGATATTAGTTTGTGGGGGATTGTGTTATCTATACATTTTTTTCATTATTATGTGAATTGATGACTAACAATTTATGTAAGTTTTGCTGATAGCTTTCGAGGATAAAGTTGTTAACAATTATAATTATTTGTTTGATGATAGCGGGTGGAAGTTAAGCAATAGGCAAGTCAAGGACGTT